GGGGGGGGAGCTTTGCATGCCTCTGTTGAAACAAAAGTGGAGGGGTGTCAGTGAGGTCCTAGAGTGCATCTGGAGCGGAGGGGACAGGAAGACATTTTTCTCTGGGACTGGGGCAAAGAATTCAAGTGAGGACAGGGGCTTCCTGCAGCCTCAGGCTCACCGCCTGACCTGCACCTTGCATCTTCCTCTCTTTTCCTCACCCCTCTTCCCCACATCTTTGTCGTTGAACTGGGTTGAATGGATGTGCCCCAGTCCTGGGCAGAGTGACACCACCCCGCAGGAATTTGTTTATACCCAAAGAGAGAAAATGCATGCCATGAGTAATGACTGATAACCTAAGGTGCTATTATCGGCTGAAGGAATGCTCCATGGCATATGTACTCCCAAACTGATTATTCATAATGAGTCTGAGACCTGGTTCCTTCAGGTCAGAGATCCTGAGGACAGAGGACAGAGCTCCCAGTGCCCAAGACAGAGCCACGGACAGCGGGGATCCCTGGCCCAGGTAGGTGGTCCTCACCCCCTGGCTCAAGATCCCTCTCCATGGACTCCCCAAATGCCTAAATATTAGCTCTGACACCTGCCTAGACCCCCTTGGCTCTCAGCCCAGCTGCAGCCCGCTGTCTCCTAGGATGGCTTCCCCAATAGGCAGGGCCTTGCTGCAGGGCCAGGCCGCACACCGAGCTTGGACACCTTAGGAAGACGCTGGCACCTTTTCTAAAGGCTGCGTATTCTGATTTCAGAGTCAGGGAAGTACTGGTCTTCAGAAAGAGACATTGGGCCGCCGTATTTTGAGTGTTCCTAGGTGGGAAGAGATGGATCTCAGGTGCCAAATGCACTGCTTCTTCAGGGAGCCTTGTGGCCCCAACTTGCATTTATACTGATGTAGGTGGCCCATTCCTTAGGCAGCTCACGGGGACATCCGCAGGTCCTCCTGCCCGTGGGCGTCACTTTGTACTCCAGCAGCAGCACCAGTATCTTTACATATTTGGGCACCTACATTTCTTTCTGCCAGACACCTTGTTCTGATGGCCTTGTTCTGATGTGCCAAATTCTCCGCCTTCTCTAGTGCCACCAATTCTCTGTGTCCCTCAGTTTACCCCTCAAACTGCAAAGGCAGTTGTGCTTGGTGGGTTCTGGGGATGCAGACAAAAACCAAACAACGTAAAATCAAATAGTGGATATCCATCGATTCGTTTAAGCTCCATCAGGTCTCCCCAGCCCCGGGCCACAGGGGCCACAGACCATCCACCCCTGTTCCTCACTGTCCTTGCTGCCTAGCCCTGGAGCCCTTCCTTATCATTTTTATTTTTTGCGAAACCATTTAGTTCCCTTTGTCGCACACCTAAGCCATTCTTGGAGGTTTGGTTTTCCACGTAAATTGCCCATCTGCAATCTTAAAAGTGGTGTGTGGCCCTTGAGAAGTCACTCAAGGTTTTCATCTTGAAAACCTTTCATCTTGAAGGTTTTCAGGAACAAGAATTTTTGCCCCACCCTCACTGTGTGGTCCTGAACTGGTGTTGGGGAAGATTCTGTGTGAGCCGAGTGAGAAGTGACCCACGGTATTGGGGAGGGGAATGCCTGTGTCAGCGGCCTTAACACATCAGGAGCTGAGCCTCTTGGGACTATTTGGAGGCTCCCTTTTCCACGACAAGAGGCTGCAAAGAAACTGCCTTTTTAAAAAACAAAACAAAACAAAACGCACACATTTTTATTGATTTTTTGGAGAGAAAGGAAAGGAGAGGGAGAGAGAGAGAAACATTGACTGCTACCTCCTTCATGACCCCTACTGGGGATCGAGCCTGAAACCTGGACATGTGCCCTGACCAGGAATCGAACTGGCAACCTTTTGGTGCAAGGGACAACACCCAACCATCTGAGCTACACCGGCCAGGGTAGAAACTTTGCATTTTTTTGCAAAGTTTAGACTATAGCAGGAGGTGTGACAATTTTTTCTGTAAAAGTTGGGAGGGTCAGCATTATAGGCTTTGCTGGCCAGATGACCTCTCCTTCAATACTCATCTTTGCTTCATAGCTGGAGAACAGCCATGGGAGACCTGCAAACAAGGGCATGGCTGTGTTCCAATAACATTTTATTTAAAAAACAAGAGTAGGATGGATTTGGCCTGTGGGCTATAGTTTGCCAGCCCTGGAATTAGAGCAATACAGTTTGAACTTCCTACTTCATTTTTATAAAATGTTGTCGAGATTCGTAAAAGTGATATTGTGACTCACAGGTTGGAAAATGTCACACTGGAGGGGCAAAGAGCCAAGAAAGAGTGCTAAAGGGAAGACCATGGTGGGCCCTGCAAGGCCACCCTGGACGCAGCAAGCAGTTCGCAGCAGAGAGGGAAGCCGGCGGCCTGTTCCACATGCAGGGCATCCGACAAGGCTCCCTGGGGTCAGATGGTGCCGTAACCAGTGTCCTTCCTGTCCACGCAGGTCGTGTCGCATCATTTCATCACACTGAAAATGTCCTTTCAGGAGGAGAACGCGGATGTGATGGACTCTGCAGACTGGGAAGGAGCTGCAGCCCAGAGCAGCTCAGAAGGTGAGTTCTCATGAAAATGCACCTGGGGCCCAAGAGCAGCTCCTGAGGCAGGACCCTGTGGGGAGCCGTGCACTGACCTGGCCTTCTGGGGGACCTTGCATGGGAATGAGCTTTGAGGATTTCCCTGGTAGGTGAGTTAGGTGACAGTAATCCTCTACGGAAAATGCAGCTCAGTGGCAGGTGCTCAGGGGCAGCAGGTGGTAGATAAATAGGTCAATTTTATCAGAGACTCAGGTTTGATGTCCTGACTCACCAACTGGGTGCTTTTGAATCCTCCACATGCGCCTCTGTGTCCCCTGACTGCCCAGCAGAGGAGGGGCCTGCGGGGGGTCTCTGAGTCTGGGTGGGCAGTAGCTCAGAGCCGAGCACTCCCTGGAGGAAGGCCCTTGGGCGTTGGCTCAAGGGAGACATTAAAAGCAGAATTTTGACCCATGTGACTGTCCAATGTGCAAGTGTGAAGGGAGAGGCCTGTGACATGCCAGAGGCCACATCCTGAGCTTTGGGTTCATATGTGGGCATCATAGTTGGAGACTAAACATCAGGACGTTGATCTGACAACTGTGGGTCCACTAACAGTTACAGCCGAGAGGCTTNGGTCTGACAACTGTGGGTCCACTAACAGTTACAGCCCAGAGGCTTGGGCCCAGCCCCGCTCCTGGGGCAGGGGCTACGAGGTGGCTCCCACACTTGCTCTGACCCCTTATCCTCGCAGTTGTGGGTGATGTATGTGCGGGATATTTGTAGCAAGTTCTGCACTCAGCTCCATTTCATCTCCATTTCCACCATTTCCAACCAGAAAAGCTATTTTTTAATATCATTACTGTCTCTTTTCTTAGTGTTTCTGAAAACATACCAAAAATAGGTAAGGCATTAAATGGTCCCGGGGCCCTAAGTCCTTGAAAAATCCCAATGTGCACGCCAACCTTGCTGTCTCTGATTCCAGACCCGGCCAGTGGCGCCCTGGAGCCAGGCCCAAGCCTCGCCTCCCTGAGCTCCATGCATGCAGGTATGGCCCCCAGGTGGCCTGGTGAGGGTTGGGTAGGGATGGTGCCCCTGGGCTCTCTCAGGGGAGTGGGAGAACCAGAGATGAGGAACACCTAAGGGTGCCGGGTAGGGCTGAGACTTCTCTGTAGAGGCAAATATCAGCAGGGTCAGTAAGAAAGATGGGCCTTGGGGTCTGCAGAGAGAGAAGGCCACACATCCCTGCTGAGTGGCTCAGGAGAAGGAAGGGTTTGAGCCTGGGAACCATCCAGGTTCCTCTTCTGACTGTTGCTGGCAACCCTGACCTCGTCACAGTGCCTATGAAAGCCGGGAACTGGGCAGGATGGGCGTGTGGGGGACCCACACCACCGAGTGCCACAGGTGCACTGGGCTAGACCTTCCCACAGGCTGCATGTGGCCCTTACAGTGACCCCAGGAGGAAATGTTAGTACCACCACTCTCCTGGTGTAGAACCTGAGGAAGAGAGGGGGGCAACCTGCCCCAGGTGCACAGGCAGTGAGCGACAGATGCTGGAGTTTGAGGGACTATACCCAAGAGGAACTGTCTGCCCAAGTCAGGTTTCAGGCTCCCGTCACCACCCCCTGCACAGGGCAGAGTCAGGAGATCTGGGCCTGAGCCCCAGCTCCACCACAGGCCATATGTGACCACTGGGCCTCAATTTCCTCCCTGTGGAAAAGCGCAGTGAGCCCCAAAAGAGATGAGGTGCACATGGCACTGGGATGGCCTCGTGGGCCTGGGAGCCACCACTGCTGCTGCCTTGGGTGGTCTGGTGGTTTTGATCTTGTGTGGAGGTGACTGCTCCTGCTCTGCGCTGTGCCCCAGCTGGTGGAGCTGCCACACAAGCTGTCTGTCGGGCCTATTCTGACTTCTCCTCAGGGCTGTGCTCCCTCCCACCTGGAGGCAGAGGTTCTCAGTGTGTGGTCCTTGGACCAGGAACAGCAACAGCTCCTGGAAATTTGTTGGGAATGAAGATTCTCTGGCTCCACTCTGGACTCTTGTATTAGAAGCTCAGGGTCTGAGGCTCAGGAGTCTGTGTCTGTGCAGCCACCAGGGTTACTGGGATACACAGGAGAGTGAGGGCCACTGCTCTGCAGGAAAGACTACCAGCCCCTGGAACACTGACAACTTTACTGAGGCCTCGAGAAGGACTTTTGGAGGAATGGATTTGGGCCAGCGAGAGGGGACATGCACAAGCATGACTGCGAGATGGTGGGGCCCCGATTCAGGCTATGATAGGAGGGAAACAGAAGGAAAAGAACACGTTTAGGAAATATTTAAAAGTTAAGAAGCACAATGCTGGTGCTAGAAATGCAACTTATGTAGTTTGTCTGGGTGTCACTCTGGACCAACTGAATCAAAATCTTGGGGGTGTGAGGCCCAGGCATCCATGGTCTTAAAACATCACCCACCAGGTGGTCCAACATGCAGCCAGGTGGCCCTCAGACCAGCAGCATCACCAGCCCTGGGGCCGATAGAAAGGCAGAATTGCAGGTGAGGTGTGGTTAATGGTGGAGAAATTGGAAGGTTTAGAGTTTATCTGGTTTCATGATTCTGAATCAACCTGCATCAGTTCCATGAACTCAGAATGGGGGTGGGGGTGGGCCCAAAAGAGCTCCTGAGGAGATTCTAGTGTAAGCAGGGCTGTGACCTACGGGTCTCACTTGATCCCATGTCATTGCAGAGTTACTTAGGATCTTGCCTGGGCCACTTATCCCTGCAATAAACACTGGGTGTCTGTGACACTTGGGGCACTAGGCTGGGGCCGAGGAGGATTGTGCCAAGTTACACAGGGGACCTGCGCTCAGGAGCTTCCAGTGCTGTAGGGAGACGAGACAGGGACACCAACACCTATGCTACGGGTGTGTGTGCAGACTACTGCGGCCACCCAGAGAGGAGGCCCACACAGAGGGTGCTAAGGAGGGCTCCAGGGAGGAGGCGACAGAGAGCCAGTGTTATAGGAAGAGTCCTCGTTGCCAGGGCAGGAGGGGACCAGTCAGGGGCCTGTGCTTACTGCATGGGAGGAGAGTGAGGCCTCAGGTTTCATCTCTAGACTGTAATTACCCATCAANACCAACACCTATGCTACGGGTGTGTGTGCAGACTACTGCGGCCACCCAGAGAGGAGGCCCACACAGAGGGTGCTAAGGAGGGCTCCAGGGAGGAGGCGACAGAGAGCCAGTGTTATAGGAAGAGTCCTCGTTGCCAGGGCAGGAGGGGACCAGTCAGGGGCCTGTGCTTACTGCATGGGAGGAGAGTGAGGCCTCAGGTTTCATCTCTCCGCTGTAATTACCCATCAGAGATAATTACATGGGAGCATCACTGAGTGCAGTGGTTACTGTATTATCATATTTGACATTTTACAACCACCATCCACGATGGTCATTGGCCCAGCTGTGGGCTCCTGCCCCCATCAGCCAAGTGCCTGAGCTCCCACAGAGGGGGGGGCCAGCTGCCCTTTCAGAGGCCGGGTAGGGAGGGTTTCTATGCAGGGCCCCACCTGTGGGCAGGACTGGGGAGCCCTGCCCTGGGGAAATCCCGGGCCACTGTCACGCTGGTCCTGCCTATTTAGAAGGTTCTTGCAGGGCCAGGCGCAAGCCCTGCAGCTTTCTGTGGGAGCTGCAGTGCCAGCTGGCCTTCAGGATGCTGGCTCCTGGGTGCTTCCTGCCTCCAGCTCTCACCTCCCTCGGCTAGCCCTCCCCTGGCCTGGCCATAGCAAGGATCGGTTTCCCCCAGGCACTGCTGGGAGCATGGTGTCCCTGGGAGAGGGTGCAGAAGAGGGGGTTAAGAAGAAAGGATTAACATGTCCGTAGTTCTTTCCATCCTCAGACTCCTGGCTAAGTGTCATTCATTTGAGTGATGCTCCTGGAAGGTAGGTGCTGTTATTACCCCCATTTTACACAGGAGGACATTGAGGTTTGGAGAGATTAGCGACTTCTCCTATGTCATAAAGCAGTAAGTCACAGGGCTTGGATTTGAACCCATGTGTCAAAACTGGGAGCCCATGTGCTTATGTATGTTCTGAGTTGCTGGTCTGGAGCAAGGCTGGAAGCCTGGGGTGGGAGAAGTCTTCAGTGGGCTGATGTCCAAGCCCACAAGCAGGGAGAGGGCTGGGCTGGGCCCCTCCTTGTGGGCTACAAAGGACCGAGTTTCCCATTCAACATGAAGAGTTGACACCTGGTTATACTGATCTAGGTCCAAAAGTGGCGAACCAAGAACCACAGAAATTCATCTTTTATGACCGGGACCACAAAGTATTGGTGTTGGACTCTGGGAACCTCATAGCAGTTCCAAATAAAAGCTACATAAAGCCAGGTGACTCTCTCTTGGTTGTCTCTCACCCCCTCCCAGCAGCCAGGCGAAGGCCTTCCTGCAGGGCTCAACTAAGGTTGTAGGACAACTCCAGCTCCAACAGGGGGTGGGCAGTGGGGCGGAGGAGCCCCAAGGACTTCTAGGAATGGAATGGTGGGTCTGCGAGGGTGATCAGAACGGAGGGAAGTCTTTGTGGACTGTGGGGGAGAGGGAGGCATGGACCGGAGTGAAGGAGCCAGAAGCCCCAGCAGACAGGAGGCCTCATCCTTGCTCTGAGGACCAACCCCCTTTCTGTGACTGTCTTTTCCCAGAGACCTTCTCTGTCTTAGCCTGTCACAAATGCTCAGGCCATGAGAAGGGAAACATAGTTCTCCTGGCAGTCTCTAATGGAGAGCTCTGTCTTTGCTGTGAGATAGACAAGAAAAAAGGCCAGCCATCCCTGCAGCTGAAGGTGAGCCCTCCCATCCAATTTCCTGTCCCCTCAGGCACCCTAAAGGGGAAGGCCAGGACCTGCAACACCTCTCCCTCTCCCCAAATTCTCACCTTGGCCTGTACAGCAGGAGCACCTCCTCCAGAAAGCAGTGGGTAGAAGAGCTGCTTGTCCTCCTGCTTGGCTCTGAGCTCCAAGAGCCCACAGGCTGGGTTTTCCCCTGTTCAGAGGCTGTGCTGGCTAATCCACCCTTTTTACCTGGCAGAAGAAGAAGCTTTCCCACCTGGCTATGCAGAATGAAAATGACTTGAAGGGCTACACCTTCTATAGGAAGAAGTGGATCTGCAGGAACACGCTCGAGTCGGTGGCCCACCCCGGGTGGTTCATCAGCACCTGCGAAGCGGGGGAGCCTGTCAGAATGACAGACAAGGTGGGGAGGAAGGAACACATCGAGTTTTCATTTGTGGAGGCCAGCAAAGCTCAAATGAGCCCCAGCGAGGTCAGCGGGTAGGAAATCGTCAGCGGGAAGCTTGCGAATCTGNTGAGCCCCAGCGAGGTCAGCGGGTAGGAAATCGTCAGCGGGAAGCTTGCGAGCAGCTTCCTGGTTTTGCATTCTTCTGCTCAGAAAGCAAATAAATAATACAGGAAATTAAATGTTTCATTTTAAGGAGGCTGTATAGGCCTTTATTCACACAGTCAAATTTTCATAACTGCTGTCATCTGCATTCAAAAAAAATTTCAAAGGAAGTTGCATTGAAAATCCAAAATACCCATTTCATGCATTCACTGCTAAATACTTTCATGTATTCAATAAAAATCGATGTTACAAAGTAAATGTGTCAGTCATATANCAAAATACCCATTTCATGCATTCACTGCTAAATACTTTCATGTATTCAATAAAAATCGATATGTTACAAAGTAAATGTGTCAGTCATATGAAAACAAACTGTTTATTTATTTATTTTTTATCTTTATTGATTTCAGAGAGAGGAAAGGAGAGGGAGAGAGAGAGACAGAAACATCAGTGATGAGAGAGTCATTGATTGGCTGCCTCCTGCACGTGCTCTGACCGGGAATCGAACCCCGATCGCCTGGATCCCAGGTCGATGCTCAACCGCTGAGCCACGCCCGGCCGGCCAAAACAGGCTGTTTAAAAACTAATTTGCTGAAGATACAAAGACCGAAAGTACACTTTAATTAATCAACTAAATTTAATTTTGTTCAACTATTTTTCGAATTGATTTCGCTATGAAGTACCTCCAGCAATCAGATTTTGGCAGGTTAATCCTAAAAGTCGATCATCAGCATACACGTACCTGTGTGCTGAACTGCAAGGTAAAACGTATTTCAAAGAGTGGATTGTAGGAAAAAAAAAAAAGTTTGAAAAGCACAATTGCATGATTAGGAAAGAGGCCTTGCCTGTGGGTGCTGACAGCTTAGCTCCGGCAGCTTGGGCCAGGCAAGGGCTCCAGAGGCTGTCACTTGCTGTCACTCGCTGTCTCTCAATGTCACAGTGCCCTCTACTGGTCACAGAAGGCACAGCTCAGCCCGCCCAGGGGCAGGGAGTGAAGGTGATTCCCTGGCAGCGGGGCCCTCTCTGCAGCAGGGCCCAGGAGGGGAAGGGACCGAGGATGGCTCTTTAAGGGGTTTGTGATGAGCCAAACATTGTCATTCGTGACCCTAAGGCGAGCGAGGAGAGAGCAAGGAGGTGAGCAGCATCAGCTCGTGACAAGTCTTGGGGTCTCACCACAGAGCTAGCGGGGCAGACAGTATGAGGGGCTGTACTCAGGGGAGTCCTGTGAAGGGGTTTGCATTTTAGAAGGATTTTTTTTTGGCCAGGAGAAGGGGAACAGCCTGGAGCAGGGCAGGCAGTTATGGGCTGGCAGGAATCCAGGTGATGTGCGCCCCTGGGCCTCAGGTGGGGTGCCCCGTCTCCACCTGTGAGACTGACCCTGTGGCCAGCTTCCAAGGTCTCTTGTCCTGTCTGCTGGTTGTGCTTAGGCCATGGGAGATCAGAGAAACGGGGAGAGTGTGGTTAGATAGCCCCTCCCTAGCTCAAGCCCCCTCCTATACCGGTCACTGCCCGCCCCCTGCCCCTTCTCCTCTGCAGGAGGTGGTGGACGCCAGCTGCCGGCAGCCTGGTCCTTCTTCATCTCCCGTGCTTTCTCTGAACCTGCTTGCACTTTTGTGAACACTCCCTCGCATCCTCCCCAGGGTGCAGCCTGTGAGTGTGCCTCTGTTCCTTGCCAGGACGCATGCCAAAGAGCTTGCGATTTATTCTGTTAGGAATAGGGAGTCATGGAAGGTTTTAGAGAACAGTAGCAAGAGCAGATGTGTATTCTGAAAAACCTGTCTGACTGAAGTGAGCAGGATGGACTAAATCAGTGAGGGCTGGAAGCAAGCGAACCATTAACAGAGAGCAGAGGGAATCCAGGTGACACGCAGTGGCCTGACACACAGCGCTGACGCAGCGCTGGATTGGGGCCTGGGGTGGGGAACCATCAGATGAGCATGCCAGCTGCACATATGACTTGGTAATTAACTTTAAAAAGCTGGAAATTTAATGTTTTGTTTTCGGGGATTGCAAAAATAAGTGTGTTGAACGTGTCACACCAAAATGTTGTGCTTTGCACTGTCTCTCAGCCCCACCCCTGCCTCACAGTCTGGGTGAGCAGCTGGTCCCTTCAGCACACGCTGTCCCTGGGTCTTTCTGGCACCACAGTTCATCCTTAGACTAGCGTCCAATGTAAACATGATGTGAGGCTCCAATGTGAGGCATGTAGGGAATTTTAAGTTTCCTAGCAGGCATAATAACAAAAGTACAAAGAAACACATGAAACTTAAAATATACAAAGGCCTCTTAAAACTCAATAATATGAGAACAAACAACTGAGTTGAAAATGGGCAAAAAGTTTGAACAAGATACCTTACAGAAGGAGATACGCGTATGAAAATATGCTCCACATTCAATGTCATCAGGAAGGTGCAAATGAAAAAGCAAGGAGATCCCACTATGTACCTATTAGAATGGCCAAAATCCAAAATACTGACACCACTAAATACTGTCGAGGATGTGGAGCAGCAGGAACTCTCAACTATTGCTGGTGGGGATGCAACACGTTATAGCCACTTTGGAGTCAGTCTGGCAATTTTTCTTAAAAAAATATCTTTATTGATTTCAGACAGAGGAAAGGAGAGGGAGAGAGAGATAGAAACATCAGTGATGAGAGAGTCATTGATTGGCTGCCTCCTGCATGTCCCCCACTGGGGATCGAGCCTGCAACCCGGGCATGTTACCTGACCGGGAATCGAACCCTGATCGCCTGGATCCTAGGTCGACACTCAACTGCTGAGCCACTCCCTGCTGGGTAGGCAATTTTTTTTTAAACAAAGGTACACACAGTCTTAGCATAGGATCCAGCAATGGTGCTCCACATAAAACCTTGCATGTGAATCTATAGGTAGCTCTATTACTCATTGCCCAAACCCGGAGGCCTTCACCTGCCCTCAGCAGGTGAATGAATAAACAAGCTGATGTCTTTTTATATTTTGCTTGGAGTACGGAGCACAGATCTCTTACCCACGGACGAATAACGTGGACCTGAGGGGCAAAGGCTTAGACTCTGCCGGATGTTTCCCAATAACCCTTCAAGGTCCGCAGGAAGGACATTAGAGGGCAGGGAGAGAGGAAGGTTAGGGGTTTTGGGTTTTTGTTTGTTTGTTTTTATTAATTTCAGAGAGAGGAAGGGAGAAGGAAAGAGAGGTAGAAACAATGATGAGAGAGAGTCAATGATCAGCTGCCTCTTGCACGCCCCCCGCTGGGGATCGATTTTGTGTGTGTGCCCTGACCGGGAATTGAACCACGATCTCCCAGATGATAGGTTGATGCTCAACCACTGAGCAATGCTGGCCAGGCAAAGGTTAGGGTTTTTATCCCCAGTTCTTTGCCTTTGGGGTTGCCCCAGGATGACTGTTTTTCCTGATGAAGATGCCGTCTCCTATCCAGTGGTCCCCTTCACAAAGCTCTCCCTGATCTGGTAACCATTTCCTCCTCTCGTCCCCTCGGGCCTACTGGTGCTAAAGGGTATATCCTATTGTCACCTGCCCTGGTGTTCTGGGCTGGGTCTTGGGATTTCCCTATACCTTGCCCGCATCTTGGTAATTAACTCCTGTATTACGTTTTCCTCAAATTGCCAAGTTTGAATGCCATATGTTTCTTGCTAGAGCTTGATTGACACAGCACGCCTCCCAAGTTGGCCCAAATATACTTCGAAGGCTTTGACGGGGAAGAGACATTCTCTTTCTCGCAAGATGTAAATGAGCGTGCAGTTTCTGATCACCACAGGCAACTATCGTACAGACTTGAAGGAACCTGGTTTTATTTTTATTTATTTATTTTAAAAATAATGTATTACTACTATATGAACAAGACCTATGGCATCGCATGTTCTTTTTTTTTTTTCTTTTTAAATATATCTTTATTGATTTCAGAGAGAGGAAAGGAGAGGGAGAGAGAGAGATAGAAACATCAATGATGAGTCATTGTAGATTGAGCCCTCAACTGGGGCATGTGCTCTGACTGGGAATCGAACCCCGATCGCCTGGATCCTAGGTTGACACTCAACCTCTGAGCCACCCTCGGCTGGGCAGGGACCTGGTTTTAAATTATGAATGTCAGTTGAGAGAATTAGAACGATGCTGACATCACAGAATTAACAGATCAGCAGCCCCGATCCTCCATCACTTCTGAACTTCCAATGATATGATCTGGTAAATATTTTTATTGTTTTACCCACTTTGAATTGGATTTTCTCAGCTTTCGAAGTGGAACGTTACTTAACTGATAGATTCTTAGAGGTAGAACCGATGGGCCAAAGGGCCCACAGTGAGGTTTTGCAAAGTTCTTGCAAAATTGTTTTCCAAAAAGCCTATGCTGACTTCCATGCCCATCCACACCGTGGATGTTTTCTTACAACATCCCCTACCAGCTTTTAATTTGTGCCTTCCTGATGGCCAGAAACTGAATCTCATTATTGCTTTGATTTGCATTTTGCTAATTACTAATACAGTTAACTGTAATTACTTCTATTTACTGGATAAGCTGCATTCTCTGAATGTCGGGAAGCTAGGGCAAGGTCAGGATCAAGGGGGACAAGGGCAGAGGCAAAAGAGGATGATGCATGTGACCATAATGCATGGATTTCTGAAGCCTTCATCTGAGCATGAAAAATTCAAGCTACACCCAAAGGCTTTCGAATCAATGAAGATACAGCTCTCTGGGTTGTGTTCCTTGGGCCCTCTGAGCACCTCCTGGGCTGGCCTTTCCTCTCCACCTCTGTGGTTCGTGTACCCACCACAGTACACTCTGTTTTCAGAGGTCTGAGCATCGGTGTAGCTGACGATCCCTCCTGCGGCCTGGACATCAGTCTTACAAGGTCCCTCCTTTGAGCTCCTAGGCTCTTTTGTTCCCTCTTGTTTCCTTCCTGTCGTCGGTACTATCTGGAATTCATCAGCAACATCACTTTATTCCTGAGCCTTCTCACGTATGTGCAACCAAGTCCTTGTGCTCCGTTCTCTTTGTTTGCGAATCCTCGTGTGGGTTCTGCTCCCCAGACTGGATCCTGATTGAAACAGAGACAGAAGGAACGTGGGGCCTTTGAGATGCTGTCTTGTGAGGAGCATCCCAAGAAAGGGGATGAGTTGGCTGATGTATTATGGGGAGGCTCGTCAGCTGGGCAGAGGGGACTCAGGCGAGGGGACACTGGCTGAGCCTGGCTTTGGACAGAATGTGTCTGAATTCATTCTCATACTCTCTCCTAGGGGAACAGATAAGCTGGAAGCCAAAAGTGATGGGATTGGGGACTCAACAGGAAAGGGCCACGTCCTGCCATGACCAAAAAGGAGATGGTGTGCAAACTATGAGGGGCTGAGCAAGGAGGCTCTTTTCAGAGCTGGGGAGAGGGGTTCACGGAGAGGATTCCCTAGAAGCTTCTGTCTTATTCTCAGCACCGTCCTCCCCAGCTAGACAGGTGTATATGAAGTTGTAGGTACTCCCAGTCTGCCTCCTGAAATTCATTTTAGTTAAGTTAACTTGGGCCTCAGGAAATTTCTATGCTTGACCTCAGCAGATGGGACAGTGAAGCGGGGAGGGGGGAGACTGTAACAAACATGATAGAAAAATGAACTGTTACCATTTATTGAGAACTTACAAAGGTCCTGCATTAGTAGAGCAGAGGGTTGGGGGATAAGTTGGGACCTGGGGCTCAGTTTTTAGGGAAATCATTGCCTAGCTCTTTTAGAACTTAGTGTATTTTGAGGGCACCAGGGACCAGGCCTCCCTTAGTTAAGAGTGTGATCCTCAGGGCCTGTGGCTCCCCAAGGAGATGGTGTTGCATCTCTGAGGGGCAGAAAGAGTGTAGGTAGGGGGCTTTCAGCTAACTCTCCACTCAGGGTGGCAGAGGTAGAGCGGTTGAGTGGCCAAGAATGCCATTTGGATCCAGCCTGAAGCACTCACCAAATTTTGTAGTCACAGGACTCCCTTAGTGGGCCTGTGGAGGGCAAGCTTCTGGGACCCAGGAGATGGACGCCCTTCAGCAAGGGCCTGGCATTTCAGTCCTAGCCTCAGGGTGACAGAGCAGGAGACTGAGCCCGGGGAAGGTTTCTTAGTCTTCCCTTTCTGAGAAACCCAGAGCTTGTCATCAACTTTATTTCCTGTGGGGCTTAACTTGGTGCTCACTTCTCAGGGAGCTCAGGTGAGATTTCGTCATCTGAGCCTCATGGGACCTTCCCTCAGGAAGAACTGGCTTTTGTTCCCATGCTACCATTGTCACACCCCACCAAGGAAGCTGGAGCCTCCCTGTGCTCATCAGATAAGTGACTCAGACTCTGTCAGGGCCTGCCACTGCTCCTGGGAGCCGCCGGAACTGACTCAGTCCCTGGGACTTTCAGCGGAGGTACTTCCTTCTTTGCAGGGGGATCGTAGGGGGGTCCTGACTCTGGAACCTTCTCCCTCTTTCCTGTGCTCTAAGGCTCAGGTGGAGAGGGGCCCTGCCAGGCTGGCTCTGCACCGCCTCCTGTATGGGCCTAGCTGCTTCTTACTGGGGAGCTGCCTGGCATAGGGCCCTCCGCTGCTCCTGGGCAAAAGCAGATGCCAATGGGAGGAAGATGCTGTGAGCAGGCACGGGCATCTGG